CCTGTCTGTTTTAGCTAGTATAGTTTTTATGTCAGGGGACAAATTAATTTTATTTTCGAGGCAAACTGTAGAATTGGCTTTAATTTCAACAATCTCATTTTAATAACAGGGTTCAATTTTCAGATTAAGTTGGTGAGAAAGGACATCTATGGACCCTGAGGCCCTAGAGGCCCAAGTGCAATCTCCCCACCACCCAGTCTTCTCCCTAGCCCTACACAGATGTCGGGAATGTTCCCCAGGGAATGTTCTGAGGACATCCCCAAGACCTTGGCTCTGTGCGGTCCCCAGCAGTGAGCTTCTCTTCATTGTGTCCTGGGCTGGGCTGCAGGAGGGCAGGTCCCAATGCCCTCACTTCCCACCCCAAGCAGGGGAGCTAAGGGGTCCTGGGTGGCTTCACAATCACTAGTGACCACCACAGAGTCCCCCACCAGTTCACCCCCAGTCTCCCACAGGCTTCCTGATCACCTAACAAGTGCTGGCACCTCCCTCCTTCCAGGGCGCCCTCTCTGTGCTTACCTGGCCCTGTCTGTCCCCCCAGGCGGAAGGCCACTTCTCTCCCAGGAGCACGCAAAGTAGCATGGCTGGCTTTTCACTACTCAAGCCAGAAGATCTCATGCCCTTCAGGAAAACAGAACAGATGCTTCCTGAATGATGGCCCCATCGGCTCCATGGTTCACACACCTGGCTGAGACCACAAACTTCCAAACACCCACAGAGGCCTCAGCCCTCTATGCAGGGAGCCAGAATGTTCTCTAGTGACCACTGGCAGACAACTGAGGCTCAGAGAAGACAGAGGAAGAAAAGCACATACGACAAAATGGTTCCCGACTCCACACTCTGTGCTCCTTCCACTCCACCGTCCCAAGGGGGAGGGGTTAGCTGGGGGTCGGAAGGGGAAGGAAGCCCTGGATTCACAGCCCTCTGCCAATGGAGGGGAACATCATGTCCAAAGGACAGCCCACCTGAATACTCCTCCCAGGTCAGCACCATCTCACAGACACCAGCTAGCAGGGAAGTCCTGAAAGGCGAGTGACTCACCCAGATGGAGATTCAACCAAAAGATTTTATTGGGGGGCTGCCTAAAGGGGAAGGAAAGGAGAGGCAGGGAGGAGAGGAGGAGGGCAGAGAGCATGAGCTTGCAAGGTTGTGTAGGCGACTTGGTGGGTGCTGACTAGAAGGGTGACTCGGAAACTGTGAGCGGACACTGTGTCCTGCAGGGACTGGTGGAGAGAACTTTTGAATTTGGCGCCCTTCAGAGAGGAGGGGCAGGGGTCGGGGATTGTGTGATGTTCTCGGGACCGTCAGCCAAGGAGGAAACCCTCGCCAGCACCCTGTCCAGTGAGACCAGGAAGCCCTGCCCAGTGTCCGAGGCTCCTGCACATTGCCAGATGGGGCTTAGGGACCTCCAGGGAAAGCAAAGGATCCGGGCAGAGTCACGAAGACCACAGTACCCACACAGGGCACCTCATGCTCAGAGGCTGTCCCTTCATGGCCACAAGCCATCGGCACAGGCTTCACAGGCCCCCGCACCACTCATCACCCAAATCAGCGGGGAGGGAGGCGCTCAGTCATCACGCAGGTGCAATTCAGGCCCAGCTGGACGGTGCCCAGGGTGGATGGCGAGGGTGGCGGCAGTACCCTCACGAGGCCTGAGACCCCAGGAGGCCCCGCAGGCCCAACGAGCAGCACTGCAGGCACCTGCGCAGCGGTGGGGGCATCAAGCAGTGGCCTAAGCGTGCTGATTTATGCCACAGCACCAGCCAACTTCAGTTTTTGCTGAGAACAAAAGGGGAAATTTAAGGGTGTGACGCCGAGCGAGGTGGATGCTGCCAACCCCGCTGCAACCTTGGCCGGGCCCTGTGATTTGCACCCTGGGGAAGCCTGCGGCAAGCTCGCCTCCTGAACTCTTGTCTTACCAGAAAGACGGATTTGCCTGGTTTAAGAAAAGGATGATCCATTTGATATGCAGCTGTAAATAGTCTTACAAGTAAATTTAAATAATGGTTGAAAACCCATTTAAACTGCTTTTCTCTTGCTGAATTAATAAAAAGAACACAGGATTTCCTTGGTGCAGAGCTCCCCTAACTGTGCAAGGTCCTGAGTTCCATCCCCAGGTTATGGATGGCACAGTGGTGCCCCAAAAGCTCCCGAGCGAGACAGTGCCAGGACGTCCAGAGGGGAAGGCTGGGACCCAAGCACTGGATCAACCCTCCACCAGCACCGAACTGGTTGGTGACTGCAGGCAGGTAGGTGTGGCTGCAGAGTCACTGAGGGGGTGCCTTCGAGCAGAGCTCTGCTTCTTGGCTGTCAAACTGAGCAACTGCCCTCCACACACCCTTCGGTCACCATGTTCTTCTGTCTCCCTGGGGCCCAGAGCTGTGGGCTGGCTGACTGTTGACTGAACCTCTGAAATCATGAACCAACATGAGCTTTCCCTCCAAGTTGCTCTTGTTGGGTCTTGGTCACAGTGACAAAAGGCTGACTAAAACACCCCAGTCGCTCCCTCTCTCTCTCTCTTTCTCACACACACACACACACACACACACACAAACAGTCCTCCCAGCCCCTCCATGACAACACAAGAAAGCTGGAGGTATCCTGATCGGGGCTTCGCTCCTGCCAGCTTGTATAAACTGGTGACCAAAACTCCTCGTGGAAAAACAAGCCCCAGGGTCAGAGTGTCCTGGGCAGATCCAGGGGCAGCCCCCAGGCACCTGGAGCAGCAATGCTGTCCCCTCCCCTCCGCCAGGCCGCTCACCTCCTCTGACATGCCTAAGCTCTGCTTTGCCACACTGGACCCTGTGGAACACCAGGGGCAATCACAGTGGTCTCCTCTGAAGGCCTCTGGATGAAGTGATGAGCTCTCTGTGTCCCTAGGAGTGGACTGTGATGATGACAGATGACCCTGACTGCAGGTGGTCTCTCTTTGAAACAGGTTTATGTGTGCATCTTCTGCCAACTGTTTATTCAAGACCCAGAGAAAGGTCCTGGCTGTCCTTTCTCTCTTGGGGTGCCATGACACCAGGCACAACATACACAAACTAGTCCAGGGCAGTGTGCAAACCAGCCCAGGTGCATTCAACTAGATCCCCCGCTACCCAATCCCAAAGTGCACCTGTCCTGGAGGATGCCTTCTGCCTTCACAGGTCTCAGGAGATGTTTCCTTTAAAGGCTGATTATTGAAAAGGAAACAAGCATGAACATCAAAGTGGAAAGCTTAAATTTTAGCCTTGAACTATTTTTTCCAAAGATTGACACATCTCCTTTGAACATAAATTAGTGTCACTGAATTGGTAAATGCAAACTCCTGAAGAATAACTCTAGAACTTATAAACCACAGTCGAGGAAAACACTTAAGAATTCCATTGGTATATTTCCTCAAAATGCTAATAAGATTAGGATTTAATCTGTTGATCATAAGATACAGTGATAGCTACATGCAGAGACCTTCACGAGCTTTATAAGTTGTCTTAAAATTTCTGGTAAATACTTACCTGTCTTATAAAACTTCAGTTAAATTAGAAAAGGGGTAAGTGTCACAACAGGAATGAAAAGACATATTTTTCTACATACCTTTGAAAACTAAAAATCCAAATGCTTATGATTTTTCCATTTGTGAAATGAACTGTACAATCCATACACTTATAAAAAAAATAGGTGATCATTTTTACGATTTACATATAAAAGAAAAATAAACTTTACGATACAATGTGATAGACTACTTCACACAAGTCTGCTCACATACAATGTATGCAATTTCTGCAATGCACAAATCCTATTCACAGGGACAAAGTCATGAAAGGCATGTGGCTTAACCTGAAGCAAACAGGGACCACTAGGGATCACCGCTGAGCCACTCAATTCAGTAGCAAAGAGACTATAAATACCTGAAGGACTGTAACCAACAGCCCCTCCCACCGCAACCCGTGTGTCCTAGGAACTGGTCAAAAATAACTGCAAGATGCAGGTGGGAAGGAGAAGCAGCAGTGCCACCACAGGGTAGATCTCTAGCACCTGCTCCTGAGCCAGGCAGCTTGGGAGCCCACGGCCGCCCCAGGGAGGGTTTGCTCTGGACCTAAAACAAGCTGTGCTGCCCTTGCTGACCCTTCTCAGCAATGCTCACGTTTGAGGCAGACTCCTCAGTGGAGGGAGAAGGACCAGGATCCGGCCCCCAGGACCTGCAAGTATAACTCCACACACAAACCCTTCCCAGAGGAACTGAAGACCTTTGTATGCATTTGCAATATTGTATTTAAGTGGAAAACTAAAAAAAAAAAAAAAAAAAAGTTTAAAAAAATTAATAACTTTGCTTTAAAAAGCAATTTCCAAAAAAAGTGGATAACATCAAAAAATTTTAGGCATTGTTCCGTCCTCCTAAGTCTTCTTCTTGTGGCTTCTCCTGAGGGCCTGTCTCTCAGGTGCACAAGCCTGTGCGAGGAAAAGGAAGATGCTGCTGCCTCTCACAGAAGGGCTCCTCCTACAGGGACGCGGGGCTCTGCTCATGCTGACCGGGGACGCCCAGGGCAAGGCCATGAGGAAAGCAAAGGTGTCCCTGTGGCAACTCCATACCAGAGGAGCTCTGAACAGCCACCCTGAAACCTCTCTTGTCCACTGTGAACTTGGAGGGCCAGATACACAAGCACAAGTTAACAGGGCCCAAAAAAACGACCTCATAAGGACGCCCATGCGCTCACGAAGAAGGAGGAAACAACCCGGCGTCGGCACACACCCAAGGACACGGGCTCCCGTCCACCCTGCTCAGCTGGAAATCTAAAATATAACGTGATCGTTTTCAGGCCTCATTCTATGTATCAAGTGCCCATCAGAAAGTTCATGGTGACCCTTCGTTTGGGGCCTATGCAGTAAGCCCTGACTCAAAAACCAAAATAAAGAACATCTCCTGGTGCCGACACCGCTTACCAGCATGAGAATTCTGGTGCAGGACTAAACAGGCTACAGAGAAAGAGAGAACAGGCTTGCAAAAAAACCTCCTACAAACGTGTTCTGAAGAGCATTTATAAACAACGGGGGCTCCAGCCGGGAGGGGCACAGGCCTCCTGACACACTCTAGGTACAGGCATTTCAGAGCCCGGAAGCTTCCCGACGGCCATGCAGCCCACAGTACTTCCTCCCAACGGCCGGCCATGCAGACACAGCACTTCCTCCCTGGAATCCTCAGCTTCACCTTCGCGACGTCAAGTTGATACTGTACACCATCTTCTGGATTTTCTCTTCGTTCTTGAGAATGTTGGCCTTCACAGCACAGATCTTGTCCTGCTGGTCCTGGATCATCTGCTCCAGCTCCGCCAGCTCGACCTTCAGGGGTTCCACGGCACAGTCCGTGATACTAAGGGAACACACCAGCGCACATCAGGCTGCCCTCATTTTAGATCTGCTTCTTAACTAACCCCCAAAAGACAGCACAAGTCCACTTCTATTGCATCCAAAGAAAAAGGGTACGATCTAAATCTCTGACCCTGATGACAAGAAGGAGCAAACCACTCACGTCTGGACAAAGTTTATTTCGCATTTCCGCAACCCCTGCCACGACGAAAAGAGAAGTCAAATAGGAGACTTACTAAAGGAGGCCAATGTTTCTTAAATGATGGGACTGAAGTCCTCAAATTATATACTTGCCAGAGTCCCAGGGTTGGCCAAGAGGTGCACAGCAATTTCCCCATGGACACTTAGGACCACCATCTAGACGAGTCCCTTCCTGTCAGAGGACAGGAGGCCTTGCCACAGGAAGAAGCTGGCCAGGCCAGTAGGGCCTTCTGTGCCAGCCTCTCATCTGCTGCACTAAATAATGGGAGCAAGGGAACTAACATGACCTTGGGAAAGCTGAAGTCAAAACTAACCTTCCCTTTATGGTTTGTTGTTGTTGTTTTTGGTTTTTGGTACTAAGGATTGAACCCAGAGGCACTTAACCACTGAGCCGCATCCCCAGCCCATTTTATTTTTAATTTTTTGAGACAGGGTCTTGGCTCAGTTGCACAGCCTGGCTTTGAACTTGCAACCCTTCTGCCTCTACCTCCTGAGCAGCTGCGATTATAGATGTGTGCCACCATGTCCAGCCCATTTTTTTTTAAATATATTTTTTTAGTTCTTGATGGGCCTTTATTTTATTCATTTATCTATATGTGGTGCTAAGAATGGAACCCAGTTTCTCACATATGGTAGAGCAAGTTGTCTACTACTGGGCCTCAACCCTAGCCCCCCTTTATGTTTTTAAAGCATAAAATACAAACTAAAATATACAACAAAGAAGAGCAATAGTTTTCTATCATAACAAAATCAGGTTTTGTAAGGAAGAACTGTCAAGAATGTTTTTTTCAAATACTTTAAATCAAAATGTAGGAGCTAGGGCTGGGGCTCAGTGGTAGCACACTCGCCTGGCACCGCATTCAATTCTCAGCACCGCATGTAAATAGCCTGTGCTCCCTCTCCAGGCTCCTCCCTCCTCTGCCCTCTCCAGGCCCCTCCCTCCCCTGCTCCCTCTGCAGGCCCTTCCCTCCCCTGCTCCCTCTGCAGGCCCCTCCCTCCTCTGCTCTCTTCAGGCCCCTCCCTCCTCTGCCCCCTCTTCAGGCCCCTCCCTCCTCTGCCCCCTCTGCAGGCTCCTCCCCACCTCTGCTCCTTCTGCAGGGCCTCTGCATGCTGCTTGTTCTCCGCGTGCCACAGCTGCAGTTCGTTCTGCATGGCGTCCACATCTTCCTGGATGTAGTCCATAATCTTTCCCAGAGGAAGCGCGCTCTTACACAAGGTCTGAATGGACACTCGGAGCTTCTCGATCTCCTTGGAAACAATATCCTTCTCCTTCTTCCACGCGGACTCAAAGACAAAGGATTTCTCCTACAGTCAGGGAAGCCAGGAAAAGAAAGAAGTATCCTGAGTTGTAGGCAGGAGGGGGGCCGCTGGGCACACCACCACCAGGCTGGACAGATGGGCACAGCAGAGTGACTGTGCTGGCTGGGGACCGTATCACTCCTAGGGCACAGGGACCAACACAGCCAAAAGAGTAGATGTGAGGTGGCAGGCTCTGTGGGAGCACCCAAGACAGGAAGGGACCAAACCTTCCCTTCTCAAAGGGAATGTGGGTTCTGTCTGCACCTGTAAATTAAAATATCTACTCTAAAAAAGTTGCAAAATATTTGCAAATCATAGTCTTAAAAAAAGCCTGTATCTGGGCTGGGGTTGTGGCTCAGCGGTAGAGCGCTCGCCTAGCACGTGCAAGGGCCTAGCATGTGCAGGGGCCTAGCACGTGCAGGGCCCTGGGTTCAATCCTCAGCACCACATAAAAATAAAATAAAGATATTGTGTCCATCTACAACTAAAAAATAAACTATTTTTTAAAAAAAAGCATGTATCTAATATCTGGAATATGCAGAACACTCCCAAAACCCAATGGCAAAAAGGTAAACAAACGAGTCAGAAAATGGGCAATGCCAGATATTTCACTGAAGAGCACATGCAGACAACTGTTCAAAGCCATCAGCTGCGGAGGACATCCAAGTTCAAGGCCAATGAGATTCCTATACAACCACCACAACGGCTGATTGAAAACTGACAGCACGTCTGAGACGCTGGTCAGGAGAAATGACATTCCCGCTTGCTGCTGGGGGCGTGGAACAGCACAACCAGCTGGAAAGTGCTTGGCAGCTTCTGAAAAACTAAATGTGCAGCTACCATATGCTCTAGCGACCGTCCTCCTAGGGGTTCAGCCAGAGCCATGACACCCTCTGTACACCCAGCCCAGACGCCCTGCAGGGGGTCAAGTGAACTGCGGAACACCATGGAATGCACCAGCAAGACAGGAAGGAACTTGGCAGGGAGCCAGCAGGACAGCCCTGAGGAGTCGCACTGGGTGAGGAGGGTCCTGAGACACTCCACGGCCCTGCGCACCCCAGGCCTGGAGGACAGCCTGGCAGGGGCCCGGGGAGGAGGGTGGGCTTGCAGGATGCTGTAGCGGCAAGGCTCTCTGGGTCCTGCCTCTGCAAGGCCTCCTGGTTGGAGGGTGCGCTGCAGTTCTGCAGGGTGCTGCCACAGGGCAGGTGGAGAGGGCACCGCCTCCTCCATGTCCAACTGCAGAGGACTCTACAGCTCCCTCAAAGCAACATGCTCACTTTAAACAGGTGACAGTCAGGATGCTGGCTGACTAAAAGGGCTCACCACCACAGTCAACTGTTTCCCAAGGGGGAAGCGCACAGTCTTTATCACATACAAACTAGAAAATCTCCCTGACTTGGAAGACAAATTGAAAATTCTATTAAGACCCACTCGCCATGATGATGAGGTGGCCCCCATGTGTCGGACACTGTTGGCACTGACGCTGGCCGTTCAGGGCTGTATGTGTAACTGTCTCACAAAGCCATGGGCTAGGACAAAGAAAGACACAAAGAGCTCACTGGTCAAGCGCCCTCACACTGTGGGTCACCCTGTCAAACCCTTCATATGTCTACATCATAGAACCAAGCACTACTCAGAACACTGAAGTTTATAATCCTTATTTTAAGATGCTAAGAATTTAAAACAAGATATACTTGGGTTGGGATTATGATAGTTTGTGAGACTCTTTTTTTTTATTATCTTAAAGGCAATGGATCACATTTCCACAGAACATTAGAATTCTGGAAACATCTAAGCTTTCATTTAGATGAACTTGGCAGGGTAAAGATGGACAAATCAAGCAGTGACTATTTGCTTTAACAAGAACACACACCCCTCTGAGGACAGACTAGTTTTTTTAATTTTTTTTTTTTAGTTGTAAGTGGACACAATCAATATCTTTATTTCATTTTTTTTTATGTGATGCAGAGGTTTGAACCCAGTGCCTCACATGTGCTAGGCAAGCACTCTACCATTGAGCTACAACTCCAGCCCCAAGACTAGCTCTTATGTAGCTCATGTAGGTCTACTGGCAACTTTCCATATAAATGTAACCTTGTTTTAAAGAATTTTAATATGTACAGTAAAATTTAAGAATCTACAACCATACTCACCATACAGTAATTAAGTCATATGAAATATTAATTTTTGGAAACAGAGTAAAAATACTGAAAATCCATCATTACACAAGATACGACCTAAACCAATCTAGAATGTAGCAGGTTCACGGACGCAAGATGAGCGGTCAGTCCTGCAGCCAGCCCAGCCATGCCACCTCCCACCTCTAGGCCTTTGGAGCCTGACTTGATCTCTGTACTTCAACTTCCTCTTGATAAAATGGAAATAATATTTATCTTACAGGTAAGGTTAAATGGGATAATAAAATGAGCAGCTCCGTGCCTCACATGCAGAAGCCACCCACAGGCATTAGTTCTCACCGTCAACTTATCCCCAGAAAGAAGTCGAAGGCCTCAGCAGAAGCCCAGGCTTGCTTTCACAAACCCGCCAGCCACACAGCTCACCAGGCATGCCTGCAGTACTATGCTGCATGTTGAAAAAAAGATTATTTATACGACCAACCTCCACCAACAGCTGTATGTCCAGATCCAGATGGGTAAATTTTTTCATTAAAACACAATTTTCCACTGGGCAAGGAGGAAACTCACCCAGCAACCCAGGAGGCTGAGGCAGGAGGATAGCACATTTGAGGACACCCTTAGCAACCTAGTACGCCCCGTCTCAAAAAACAAATTTTTTTAAGCCTGCAAAAAGGGGAGGGGGCTGGAGATGCAGTTCAGTGTAAAACCTCTGGGTTTAATCCCTAGTATTACAAATAATAATAATAATAATAATAATTGACCTTTCTTAGTGACATACTCCCTTCCCTTTCTCCATTTAAAAATAATATATAACCCCAGCTATGAAATTAACACCCAAACTCTTTTCCATAACAAAAGGTTTGATTCTGAGCTCTGAGAAAATCTGCTGTGAACCATGCAGAACTACCCACAACACCTTTTTGTGACACTCTTACCAGGGTTGTTTCTAAAAGCTGTTTCTAAAAATCTTGCAAACAGAGTAGCACCCATGTTTCATGGGGACGCAGACCCACTCTCCTGGCTCCTGCTTCCTTTTGCTGCAGACTAGAGGCTACTTTCTCAGCTGCCTCTGGCATGAAGGCCTCTGGCAAGTGTAAAAAGCAATTGGCTGAGTACTGCACACACCACCATGCACACCACTGCACACACCACCATGCACACCCCTGCACACACCAGCATGCACACCACTGCACACACCACCACCATGCAACACCCTGCACACACCACTGCATGCACCATCATGCACACCACTACATACACCATGCACACCACTGCACACAATAGCATGCACACACACTGCACATGTATCACACACACCCTGCACATACCACTACACGCACCATCATGCACACACACTGTACATGTACTGCACACACTACTGCATGCACCAGCATGCACACACTGTACATACTACCATGAACACACAGCACACTCTACCATGAACACACCACTGCACACACACTGAACACACCATGTACACACCACCATGTGCCTGCACTGCACACACCCTGCACACACCACTGCATGCACCACCATGCACACACCCTGCCCACACTACCATGCACACACTATCATGCGCACACACTACCATGCACACACTCTGCCTATGCCACCATGCACACACACTGCACATGTACTGCACACACCCCCATGCATGCAAACTTTAGAAAATGCTTCCAAGATTTTTCCGGTGATCAGTTACCTACTGAAACTTAATACTATTTGCATTTTACTACACACACGTGCCTCCAGAAATGTGGACAATTGTTTTAAAATTTTTAAATTTTCAATCATGTATTATAAGTCAGACAGATAAAAATGATCCAACTTAGAGACCTATTCCAACTGCAATGCTTCAAGAGAAGAAAGTACTAACTGAAGAACAGTGTCTTATTGTCTGGCCCTTGGGTATTGCCAGAAGTCTCTCTCACAAGCAGGTGGGGGCCACAAGGGAGGCCAGGCCTCTGCACTGTCCCCACTCTGCTGCCCTTGACTAGTCATCAACCAGAACTCTACCTTACATTAAGCAAACCTAGTAAACAAAAGCACGATTAATTGGGGCAGAGGGTAATAAATCAAAGAGCATTTGCTTTAAACAACACACTTACCCTTGACCCCAGGGGCTGATTTTTACGAAGCCTGTCAAGAGTTCCTATTCCTCATCAACAGGAAAACCTGCATTCAAGTTACAAATGAAACGCTCGGGCCAACAGAACAATCGTGCTGTGTCACGTTCATCCAGAAGTATCCCACCACCAAACGCCTCTGTGAACCAGACATTCACCTCTTGTGGACACAGATCACCCAGGACCTCTCCGACACAGGAACAAAATGGCCCCTAGGCAAACACTGCCACCTTTTGATGCACATACAGAAAAGCACATTAAGCATGAATGTTCAGTTTAACAGAACAGTGAAGCGGAGAGCTGCAGCTGTCACTTGGGCTAAGTACGCACACTGCTAGCTCTTCCAGCTTGAGCACAGGGTCTGCACAGGTCCGAGGCCTGCCCTTCAGCCTGCTGGAGGTCTGTCTGGCCCGGTGCTTGCCTGCATGCTTGTTTTACTTAGCAGGATACAAATGGACTCATGAGCAAATGGACTCCCTACCTCTGCCTCTTCTGCTCAACATTCGGTTTCTGAATCAACCACATAACTTAGATTTTGTTCACTGTACTGCAGAACAGTACTTCATTATGTGAATGAAACTCCATGATTTATTCACCCAGTCTACTGCTGGTGGGCTCTGGGGTTATTTTTCATGTAGGGCTTTTATAAAAAACACAACTCTGAATAACCTCACACGTGTCCCTGCTCACACAGGCACACGATGTGCTATGGGAAGGGACAAGAAGCAGCACTGCCAGGTCA